GTTATGAACCAATCACAGGCTGGTATTCATAATCAGATCTTATTTCAAGACCGTCTTAAATAATATCTTAAGATGCTAATACGGCTCTGTGATTGGTTAATGACATCTTAAGATTGTACTTAAGATGGTCTTATAAATATAAGAACCGACTATGAATACCGGCCACAGAGCCGTATTAGCATCTTAAGATATAACTTAAGGGCCGATCTACAATGAATGTTGTAAATCGTGAGTCGTAAGAATTGACCAATCACAGTCCATTATTCTCCTTGCGGTCGAAGAATAAGGCCCGGTCTACAATGGATGTCGGAAGTCGGAGTCGTAAGAAATTGACCAATCACAATCTATTATTCTTCTTGCGGTCGAAGAATAATGAACTGTGATTGGTCAATTTCTTACGACTCCGACTTCGACATCCATTGTATTTATAGTCGGATCTTATATTTAAGCTCGTCTTAAGTACGATCCTAAAATGTTATGAACCAATCACAGGCTGGTATTCATAATCAGATCTTATTTCATCTTAAGATATAACTTAAAGGCCGATCTACAATGGATGTTGTAAATCGTGAGTCGTAAGAATTGACCAATCACAGTCCATTATTCTCCTTGCGGTCGAAGAATAAGACCGGGCATAATAAACTTTGATTGGCCAATTCTTACTACTTACGACTTACAACACCCAATGTAGACCGGCCCTAAGGCCGGTATTCATAGTCGGTTCTTATATTTAAGACCGTCTTAAGTACAATCTTAAGATGTCATTAATCAATCACAAAGCCGTATTAGCATCTTAAGACATTACTTAAGATGGTCTTAAAATAAGAACCGACTATGGGCCTAAGGGCCTAAGCAGAATGACTGTCTTATAACCTTAAGGCAGTGTTTTATGCCTTAAAGGTGGAAGCACATAAAATTGCAGGAGCCTTGAGCAGAATGCAGAAGCCATATGCGCATGCGCTATGGTATTTGTAGAGCTCTACAGATACCACAGCGCATGCGCATATGGCTACTGCATTCTGTTCATGGCTCCTGCAATTTTATGTGCTTTCACCTTAAGTCTTCGTCTTATGTAATGCAGGCATAAGGGCCTAATGCTAAGACTCCATAGATGCGGAAACGCCATGCGGCAGAGTGCGTTGACCAATCACAAATTTTGATTTTGCCGCAGGCGACTTGCGGCAGCCTTTTGATTGGTCAATGCACTCTACCGCACGGCGTTTCCGCGTCTATGGAGTCTTAGCATTGAATACCGGCCTAAGACGATCTTGAAATAAGATTCGACTATGGCTACGGTCAACGTGACGCTACAAATGCTTCGAAGCATTCATCTTCTCTTTTCTTTCAATGAAAAAAGAAAGAGAAGAAGAACGCTCCAAAGGAGAATAATCGACTGTGATTGATCAACTTATTGCGACTCGTATTAGGCGCGTTCAGCAGACCAAGCCGCTGAGTAGCAGTCAAGCTGCAATTTTTGCATGGATGCTAGAAACTAGAGTTCCTATAATAAGAGTTAGGACAAACCGCCGCCATGTTCAGCCAAATGATAGCTTTGTCTCACTCCCACTAACTTCTTGGCTGAAACATATGGCGACCATGATAGCTTTGTCTCACTCCCACTTACAGCTTGTCTCACTTTTACTAACTTGGCTGAAACATATGACGGGACCAATCAAAAATCGTCACCACATTGGCTTAAGGTGATCCTAAAGCCGTGATCCTAGCCAGTTTTTTTCGGTTTTTTTCTTAGCACTAATTTTTTAATTGGCTTTATAGAAATGCAAAATTCTTGTCTAGAATTAAAGTACGCATCAAAATCTAGGTCATGGTGGTCGAATTTATATCGAAAACGAAAAAAAATTAATATTTTTTGTTATACGTGACGACCACCACATATAAATTCGACCACCATGACCTAGATTTTGATGCGTACTTTAATTCTAGACAAGAATTTTGCATTTCTATAAAGCCAATTAAAAGATTAGTGCTAAGAAAAAAACCGAAAAAAACCGGCTAGAATCACGGCTTTAGGATCACCTTAAAGGTGAAGTTTCATGGGCAGTGAAAAGCAGCAGCAGATCGTACTGATTGGCTACAAAATAGAGAAGTTCTCGAGTTTCTAGAACTCCTCTATTTTATAGCCAATCAGTACGATCTGCTGCTGCTTTTCACCTCTTATTATAGGAACTCTACTAGAAACCAGCGGCAGCGTCAAGAAAATGTAGTGGGGGGAAAAAATTCCCTTGAATTTTGCGGTACGCATGAGCAAGAAAGTGCATCCCTCATTCAATCTTACCGCGTTTCCAGAGTTAAGAAGCTTTTTACGAAGTCTGCGTGGGCTTGGAGAGATCTCTATGCGATAGATATTGATTTTTATTTCTTGGAGAGGAAAGCCTTGTTCAATTAACTATCAGCACCTAATACATAAAGGTATAACAAAGTCTAAATTTATACTGATGCAAAAAACGATATATATTTAAGGTAGTCCCTTCATTCGCACGAATTGAAAATTTCAGGTAAATATGCAATGAAAATTTTTTAATTAAATTAAATTATTGTGTATGTGTATCGATGTTGTACAGTAGTTTAGAAATATATACAAATTTGCTAATACTAAATTGGAGTTGCTTCGCACGAGGTTTTCGTTTGTATGAGAGAAAATGGCGGTAGATATATACCACGATGCCACGTGGCCGTGATGGATCGAAAAGTATATTGCGACAAAAAAAAGATAGCCCTGGTGGAAAAATATCTCAGAATTTTTCATATTATTAATCAGAGAGAAGACTGAGAGCGGCCACGCCGGCGATTTAGTGATGAATATACTGAAATTTTGGATGATAACACCATCACACAATATGTGCTTCATCATCATCAAAACCGCGCGCCACACCATTTTCTTTCATACAGGCTTAAGTTCATCTTTAAATACTCATCCATAGCCAATAATGAAACGAGAGTTATACAGCATCTAAAAATAAACAGAATAATAAATTTCTTTCGCCAGTATAGAATAACAATCAAGTAATTTCTTTAAATTGACCGTGACTGGCAATAAATAACGTAAGATCAGGAATGGCTATAGGAGTCAGACGCAGTTGTTAGTGCGTAAAAAACTTAAGCGATTTCATCAATCGAATATATATTCAAACGTTTCGGCTCGGGATTGAGCCATCTTCAGTGAAATATATAGAAAAGTTAATTAATAGTTACTCCCATTCTTCTTGTTGGATCGGTGAGTTTCGAGATTGAAAGATCCCAAAAGACAACATTGACTTTCGAATTACTGTCTGTAACAGATCAAAATCGAACAATGATATTCAATATTTCTGTCAGTATCTTAATTCAAGTCAATTAACGAGATGTGGTTAAACTCACCCGATATAGCCCAAAAGAACGAGAGTATTACAAAGCCATACAGAGTACCCTAACAGCATTAATATCCTGTATATCTATAGAATATACTGATGTACTTAATATACTGAGAACATCCTTATAATATCTTATACTGTACGATATCCTCTGAACATTTTCAGAATATACATTTGCTGTTAGGGATGTTCGTTTGATTTCGTCTCCGCATAGAATGTTATATCTTTTTGGAAGACTCGTTATATATATACTCGTTATATATATATATACTCTCGTTTTTTTGGCTATCGGGTGAGTTTAACCACATCTCGTTAATTGACTTGAATTAAGATACTGACCGAAATATTGAATATCATTGTTCGGTTTGGATCTGTTACAGACAGTAATTCGAAAGTCAATGTTGTCTTTTGGGATCTTTCAATCTCGAAACTCACCGATCCAACAAGAAGAATGGGAGTAACTATTAACTTTTCTATATATTTCACTGAAGATGGCTCAATCCTGAGCCGAAACGTTTGAATATATATTCGATTGATGAAATCGCTTAAGTTTTTTACGCACTGACAACTGCGTCTGACTCCTATAGCCATTCCTGATCTTATTTTATATTTCGGGAGTCCAATACTCATTATTTTAATAAATAACGTCTTTCCGACATTGAAAAACTGTGAGCCAACTTGGTTTGTCAGATTCACCCCACACAGCACACTTTTTCCTGGGGATATCTCCAGGATATATAGCGATATCACATTGGACATATTGCGATCCCATAGATTGATTGATTGATTGAGCTTTATTAGCCTTCTCGGCTATTTTTTACATAAAATATCCTTAAATTAATTCCTCTACATGAGGTACAATATATTCTCTTTAACCTACGTTTAAATGGTTCAATTCTTTCGCATTGCTTAATTTCTATCGGTAGCGCGTTAATTTTTATCGGTTCTGCGATATTGAATTCTAATATTCTCAGCCTGCCTCATTTGCCGTCCACTCACATATATTTCCTACTATTTCTATCCTATTACTTAAATGTTTTGACATTATGCCTCTTACTATCTTAAAAATAAAAATATATACATTGTACATTAGCCTCTGTCTTACATTCATAAACTTAAGGGTTTGCAGCATCAATTCTACCTTTGTATATTGCGAGCATTGCAGTATGACTCTCATGGCACGGTTTTGTGCCACTTGCAGTCGATTCAGTTGCGTTTCACCCATGCCTTACTAACATATCGTTGCGCAATATTCAAAGTGAGGCGCTATGATAGACTTATACACAGTACATCGAGTGTACGCCGATATATCATTTCCTATTCTATTCAGAAAACTCACTTTTTTTCCTATTTTTTTTAACATATAATCACAGTGATTCTCCCAACGGACTTTACTATTGATCATTACACCCAGATGTTTCGTTATCTCGACACGCTCAATTATAGTTTCATCCAAACTTTTTACTATTATGTCTGTTTTTATTTCTTTCCTTATACTTTTAACTATCATATATTTGGTCTTATCTGCATTCATTTTTAACATATTCACATTCATCCATTCTTCAAGTATACCGAGCACCATATTTATAGTTTTATTTCTAATTCCTCACAACTTTCTCCTGTTACACTTGCGGTCGTGTTATTTGCAAATAATCTAAATATACTTCTCTCCAGACAGACTTTAACTATATCATTTATATACAAAATAAACAATAGAGGTCCTAAAACTGATCCCTGTAGCACGCCATATACTGTCTCAATTATTTTAGAACATATATATCATTGAATCTAACTTGCTGCTTTCTATTACTTAAATACGATATTATCCATCCCAGTACCACTCCTCTTATTCCATACTGATATAATTTTTCCACTAATCTTACCCTATCTATTGTCTCAAACGCTCTCCTGAAATCCAGGAATAACACCACCACCATTTTTTTCTCCTTAATTATCAACTTCCATTCCTCGATAAAACTTTGAATTGCTGTCTCACACGACTGCTGTTTCCTAAATCCCGATTGGTATTCGGTTATTATTTCATTGTCTTCTAGAAATTTTTCCAACTATTTTTTTACAACTAACTCTAATACTTTTTCATATATCGGTAACATATTAATCGGTCTATACTCGCTCGCTTTTTTTGGTTTGTTTACCTTCGGTATCGGTATTATCGTGGATGTATCGTAGATGTCCTACGGTTTATTGTGATCAAATATTTGGACATATTGCGATCCCTCGGATACCTGGTGGATGTTGCAATATCTTGTGCTGTGTGGGACACAGCACTTTTTTCGGATCAATCAACGAGGCATTATTAATTTCGACCATAGGGTTTTGGTCAGTTGATGTAATTTCTAAGTTAAATAGTTTTAAATTTTTATTGCGAAAAATATTACCCCAGCCAGAGTTTGAACCTGGAGCCTCCCGTATACATACAACATAACATTGAATGTTCATATCGAAAAGACGTTATTATTGCCAGTCACGGTCGATTTAAAGAAATTACTTGATTCTAAAGAAAAACTTAAGACGATATTAAATATGTATAAGTGAGAAATTGTTGAGCAGCTGTGCTGCGATTTCGATGAGACCGAGCTAGCAATTTTTCCGGTTCCCCGGGCCTCCACCTACACACACACACACGGAGAGACGCTCTGTCTATTCGTATGACGAGTTCGTTTCTTTGCGGAATTTCTTGCACAGTTCATCAGATGAACTTAAGACGATCTTATATATACATAAGATTTGACTATAAATATAAACCGGCCATAAAAACAACTCACTTAACTAATTATCTTATACTTTTTTTATGATTTTGATTAAGTTAATATATTAATAAAATGGACTTTTCCAATACACAATAGAATAAATTTTGTATCCTTTATCAAATTTTATCTTTTAGCAGAATAGAAATGTTTATAACAAAGATATTGTAGTTATACTGCAGATTTACTTTTTTTATTTTAATCGAAAACTAAAATACAATCACATAACTTTTTTATCGTAAATTAAGTTTTTCTTTTTTTTTATAGGACAGAAATTCCATCACACATCAACTAGAGTTTATTAAAAAAGAAGAGATACTATGGAATATATTGGAGGATATATGGAAGATCGATGGTTTACTATTACTAATTTTAGTAGGATGTGCGAAGATTGGGTTTCCCATGTGCGAAGATCCTGGAAACATTACGGTTCCAAACGGCACGATTACAATTTACAAGAAACATTGAATGGATCCTTTCCGATGATCAATACTTACAAACATTTCGACATTTCGGCAGAAGCGATTGGTAATTATATGTTTGATTCTGGCCTCATTGTACACGGAGGGTCCAAGCGAAAACAGAAGCGGAAAGAGAAGTATCAAACAGTAGTAGACGAAGAAAAAGAAGAAGAAGATCGCGAGAATGAAAAAGCAGCCAGGAAGGAACTGGAAAAGCGGTTCTGTGAAATCTGCCGAAAGAAATTTAGCTGTCAGAAACAGTACGAGAATCACCTAGCCTCGAAAGCTCATAAAAAGAAGATTCGGGACCAAAAGAATAAAACCGTAGCAACCGTTTCTAGAAATAAAGAACGCAGAACTACAAAGAATGTTGTCGGTTTCAGCAAAGAAAGGATTAATTCGATTTCTTCCAGTACTAATAATCAATTATCGTCGCCGTCCAGTTATATTCCGCGCCGTCCTCTTATCTTGAATGGTCGATACATGGACGTTCATATATGTTATTGTCTGTTCTGCAACGAACGTAATCAATCCTTAGAGTACATTATGGAACACATGGCGAAGAGTCATTCGTTTGTCATACCTGATTTGGAGTACTGCGTGAATCCAATAGGCCTGTTATTGCACTTGGCAGAGATAGTTTATTTTAATTTCCAGTGTATTGATTTCCAGTGTCGTAAAAAGTCTGAAAAGTCAGGTAGATAAACAACTATTATTCAATCAACTACTTTTTTCGTTATATTCAATTAGAACCTAATTTACCTAATACCTTTGTTGTAAACGTTCTAAAAATAAATTTTGATTAGAATTAAAATAAAAAGAGTTAAATTAGAAAATTGAATTAAACTGAAAGAAAAACCACAGTTTAAAAAACTACGAATTGAATTAAAATTTGCATATTTTTACAGGAAAGAAATGGAAAAGTTATAACGCAGTGAGGATGCATATGATTGCTAAGGGCAAGCGCCACTGCGAGTTATTCTTCGTTGACTATATCGACGAGTTTTATGATTACACCAACCGTCCAGACGACGAGACTGCTGAACCAGAAGAGTTGTCGAAAGTTCACGAAGCTAATTGTAAGCTGCTGGAATCATCAGACGTTAACAAGGCTAAGCAACCTTTGACACCTGGCAGGTTTATGAATCGTGCTTTGTTCGATAAAATTAAGCGGTATAAGCAAGACCTCGAGACAAAGAGGAAACTGAGAAACAGCATCAAAAAAGCTACCTTGCCCTGCCGAAAATGTTCGATTAAAACCGATTAAAACATAATCCGTTTTAATCGGTTTTAATCGGTTCAATCCGCGCCCGGATTAAAAAGTAATCGATTTTAATTCCAAACTAATCAGAATGGGTTTTGATATCGCTTTTGCAGATTATTTCCAATCCGAAATCATTACATTCTAATCCATATTGTTGTCAATCCAAAATAAACACTAATAATCGGATGGATATATAATCCAAAATAATCCGCCTAATTTTGTATATTTCTTTTCAAGAGATGAGTCCGTTTCAATTACAAAAACACCAATTCAATAAAATCGGTTGTAATCCATCTGAATCCGATTTGCTAGGAAAGACAACATTAATCTGTTTTAATTCGAAATTCAGCGATTGCGCGTATGCAAATTCAATCCGTTATAATAATATCCACTTTTAATAATTGAGTTGATTTTGTAATCCGGTTTAATCCAAAATTTACCAATTTCGGGGATAAAAATTAAATTGATTTGAATGCAATAAGAATCAAATTTATATAGTCTGTGATAAAGCAACAGTTATTCGTTTGAATTTTAAATTCTCCGATTTTTCAGATGAAAAGGAAATCGGATATAATGCAATTAAATCAAATTTTTGTTATAATTATATTTGACTGTGTGTATATATAAATAAAGAAACAAAATTGTATTTATTACAAAGTTTTATTTATTATTGAATTTTAATGTATTCGGAGGTTTGCATAAATATCTACAATATCCAACATCTATGTGAATAAGCTTGCTTTTGACATCGCTTATGGGAACTATTGAGCTATGTACATAATCTCCTGATTCTATCCTATCCATGTACGACACTTTAAACGGTTTATTGGAACTAATCGTAATTTTTGATATTTGCATGTGGCATTTATTATTTAATAGAATAATGTGCATTATTTGACCATATTCGCCTGAATGTAACTGAATCATTGTATCGTTCGTTCTTTTCGCTTTGCGATACTTCTGGCTGTGAAATACAACGCCTCTAACGATGCATTTTTTATATGCTTTATACATTTTATCATCGCATTTTACGCTATAGCATTTGCCAATAAGAATGACATTGTTGTCATCAGATGTATCGAATTTTGATAAATGTTTATATTGAAATCTGCAGTAGTCAGACACGGCAGAATCATCACAGTAATCTACATTATCCGTTAGAAAGTGCAATATCTCCAAGGACTTTTTCGACATTTGCTGGTCAATTCCGTTTGGACCATTCATACATTGTTTTAATTTATATATATTACTCTCGAAAGACGTAAATGTTGTTGAGGATAACCAAGATTCTCGTTTTTACGATTACTCACCCGAATTGTATTCATCATAATAGTCAGAAAAGTTTGTTCTTTTAAATATATTAATGTTTTGATAGCGAAAATTTTATGTTTATTTTGAAAAAATTGAGAATAAGATGGAATTTTAATC